AGCATTGTCTGTCGTCTGTACTTCAGTTGTCGCGATACTTTCATATAGGATTATTCGCCCTGGTTATTGATTAATAAAATACTTTTATTTTATGTTCCTGACACTCAAGCACTTCTGATGATGTCATTTATCAAGTTATGTTTTATTGGGCTTGTTTGGGGGACGTTGAAAGATGTTGCAAAGTCGAGCAGTTTATCGGAGTCGAAAAGCAAATTTCCATCATCGCCTGATAGGGATATAGCCGAATATAAAATGCAAACGATTTTATGAATATTTCATTAGTCTGCATACTTATGCAAAACCCCCCAGTCGGCCAATTCACTGGCAAACTTGCCGGAAGGTTGTAGCAGATTCGGTGGTAACGCGACATCGGTAACTCACACAATTTTATGTTTAACATAGATGGCGGACAACTATTCAGCCAGAAGTGACTGTTTATTAAAAGAAAAACCAACATGACATTGTGGATTTTTGTTCCGGAAGTGCGTTTGTCACGTAATAGGTCGTGAGTTGCAAGAACAGTGATTTCTTGCACGAAAGTCTAGAGAAACTTAACGCTTTTGTATTAGTTTATGTTGCATTTATAACGTGTAAATGCTTATCGTTGCATGAATTTTTATTTTTCACCGAAGCTTATCGATCCTCTCGTGGAATTGTTATCGCAAAGTTTTACCGTATATGTTTGTATAATTTTGCATTTGCACCAAGTAACTCATTTTTCTTTATACATTTTCAGACATGAATGATTTACCAATAAGCGTACCAAGGTTAAATAACAAAGCAGCTTATGATAAGATTGCGCTGAGGCCGAAGAGAAGAGCCGCCGGTAGATCACGAGGTGCTCAGGTAAGCTATGAAAAAGTAACGTGCAACCTTGGAAATTTAAGGTTAGCTTCCACTCATTATACTTTACGCTGTAAAGTGACGCCTGAATTTTGTGCTGCAATTTCAGATATTCTAGTATAAAATCAACGTGGTCTCGTGACCTGTCTATCTATTCTATACCAATCCAATTCGCCAGCCCAAAATATGGTGATTCCACACTATTGTGATCCATAGTTTATAGATTCGTTAAATAACGACTGTTTGAATGTTATGGTACCACCTCAAATTCCCGCATGTTTTTATTTTCAGCAAAAGCATGTGATTCGAGTAGAGGCACAAATTAACGGATTTCCTGATTCACCAACCATTGAAGATGAAAAAGAAGAAATATCCAGAGGTAAAGTAAATAGTAATAAGTTCAACTAACAATGTTAACTAGCAAAAGGTATTTGACAGGAAATTCAGATGCTTCATTTAGAGCCACACACAAATGGCCTCGACAATTCGGTGCTGCTTAACTTTTTGGAGAAAAGTTTTGTGGAAAACCGAGTTTACATTTATCAACCCCACATGCTTTGTGCTTATTATTTGATTAATATATAATGTTTATTATTAGTTACAGTATCAATTTGCGCTTCGGCCACTTTTTGTGTGTATAAAATATATCATATTGGAAATACTTCATTAATGCATAATCCAACTTATTTGTAGATATTTCTCCGCCTCGAGCGAAGAAACCCCGGCCACCAAGCTTCTCACTACAACCACCCCAAGCAGAACAGAGCGCAACTGGATCTGGAACGACTGTCACACCCAATAGACATTCTATGTTTGGCAGATCACCATTGGGTGCGGCGCCGGGTATGATTGTTCCAACCTTAGAAGACATGCAAAAAATTAAGCTACGTAAACGACAACCAGAATTGGAGCCCAAAACCACTGACAAATCAACCAAAGAAAAACCAGTGTCGAACAAACCAGATGCTGACAAGTCCAAACTATCAAAGAAATCCAATTCTTCGGAGAAGAAACCTACCAAACAGGATCAAAAGGGTCAATCGGATGGAGGTTCTTCTATTTTTCCTTGGAAAAATAAATCAAGTACGTCGTCCAAAAGTCCGCCCGCCAATCCGAATGCTCTCGAAGACGCACAAAAAGAAAATGAGAAACCAAAACCAACTAAGAAAAATGTTAGTGCAAAAGACTCGAAATTGGGGTCGGCATCGAAACTATTTTCGGGGAATGACAAAAAAGAAACGACTAAAAAGAAGCCTTTTGGTTTGGGGAGAAAAGACAAAAATCATTCGGGTAATAATTCCAAAACAAAAAGTGAAAATACAACAGCTGAAAGCGTCGTGAAAATGGATTTGTCGAGTTCGGAAAAGGAAATTGAGGAGAAGACCAACATGGAATCGGAAAAAATGAATGCCCATCAAGACGGTGGTGAATCTCCTGAAATTGTTGAAAATGAACCGAAGCAAAAACATAATGTCAAAAGCAAATACGCGGATATGTTAAAACTGGAAGCAGAAAAATTGGCGGAAAAAAGAGTTGACGATGACCATGAAAAACCACCGTCCCCTATATCGCCTCTTGATGTCGAAAAGATGATATTTGGTGATAGCTCGGTGGTGATAACTGTTGAGCATAACGAAATACCGCAAATCGACAAGCCCGACTCACCAAAATCACCGCTTGAACAGAAAATATCGATTTTCGGCGAAACCTTCAAACTAAAATCTCCTGATAAAGCGACAAATACATTCACTATCAATAACGTGACCGAAACAGAATCTGCAAAAGAAAAAGAACAAGATGTAACGATTAAGAAGAACACAGTAGTTCAGGAGGAGAAAAAAGATGAGCCCCTATCGCCTGTTAGAAAAGTGACAAGTCCTATAGAGGCACATGTGGAAGCTAAGTCGATATTGAAACGTTCGAAAAGTCATGAATATAATGCGGATATCACAAAGCATGTTGTACAGTCTGGTCAATGCGCAAAGGTGGAAAATTTGAAATACAAAGACAACATTGCTGAGCAACCGTCTTCTGAACAAATAGAGGAATCAAAATCACAAGTATCAGACAAAATCACATTGACTACAAAAAAGAAGTCGTCACCAGTATTTCCCAGAGCTCGCAACGAGGATCAAAAACATGTGTTTGGTGATAAAAAGATCCGTGCAAATACTGAACCAAGTGTAGGCAAAACAAAAGAGCCAAGTACAAACGAAGGCCAAAAGTCTACAACTATCTCACCGAAAACGCCGACGAACCCATTGTTAGATGAACAGCCAGGAGGACTTTATTCCCGTAACAAACTGAAATCGATTGGAGATAGAACCGGAACTGAGAAATTTGGGGAACGGAAATCTGAATCTTTCAAAGCCTCATTGGTAACTTCGCCAACAAGGGCTCTGCGGGCCCGCTCATTCAACGTCGGATCGAACTCTCCTGTACAGGCTAAAATTTTAGCAGGTCAAAAAAACAAAGCGGAAACACGTGATACAATAGAGAAAATTCCGAGTTCGCGAACTTTAAGCCCCACAAAAGAGAAGCCAGCTATTGCCACTAAGCCCCCGAAAACCCCGGATAAAAGCCCAATGAAAACATCCAAAACTTTATTTCAAGATGTTGAAAATAATAATATAAAACCAACTGAAAAAGTTGAAACAATCAAACAGCTTGATAAGTCGGAAGAAAGTGAAGTTATTGTCAAACCTGTTTTGCGTAGGAACACGACGAAATCTCGATCCTCTCGGGAAAAAGATGACAAAAATACGGACGGTGTTCCATCTTGGATACAACTAGCCAAACGACGATCGAAAATATGGGAAGATGGTCAGGCGAAAAATGAAACTGTAAGTTCTTTCATATTCTTTTAATATTTTAAAGTTGTACAGCAAACTAAATTACATTATTTGTTGCTGACATTTACATAAAAATGTAGCGAGTGCGTTTACATGTAAATGAGAATCCATGCTGCAAATATGTAAGTCCCAATTTTATTATTTTGATTCAGAATTCATCGTCTCAGAAAACCACGGCGGACAAGGCGCCCGAGAAGGACGCCGGTCGGCCGAAATCCTTGAAGGTGACACTTGCAGAGTCTACCAACAAGCCGGAGGTCGAAGAAAATGTATCGAAGCCGGCGCCGAAAGAACGCAAAAATTTACCAGGAAAAATAACAGCATCAAACACTGCAAGATTTGAGAAGGATACAAACGCGTCGAGGGAACGACCAAATCTTCCGCAAAAAAAATCCACTACGCCGACTTCTAAGTCATCAATAGCTCCGAAGGAACGCAAAGGCAGTTTGATGAGCCCCGATCCACCTTCTCCGACCTCTGACCAAACCAATCGAACTGCTCCTATCCCCAACATCAGCATGGTATCCCCAAAGCATGTGATGAGCGGCTCAAAAGAAGTGAAATCAGATGGGCAGCCATCTTGGTTGGCTATAGCTATGCGCAAACAGAAAACGTGGGTCAAGGAAGAAACAGTGTGAATTTGGAAACGTGCTATTTATGAGGCCAGGAATTATCGCGAACAATTCGACAAACAGAAAATGTTTTACCATAGTGAAATTCGAACATTAAGCTCATGATTCTATGATTGGAAATTTTGGAGTTTGTAAATATGGTTCCCGCGTAATCAGACGTAGTCTACTTGGTATAGGTTTGATAAACAGTGGAATGTTGGCCCAATTTGCCTCAAAATTAAATATATTTTGTGCAATAATATTAAAGGAAGAAAAGCCTGAAAGAAATCGGAATGGTAATTTGTAACCGAAGTTTTTGATGTGGCTTTCAAGTACGTTTATTTGTTTAAATATGACATAATTTACCTATTTTAAATAATTCAGATATGGCGCGAGTTGTTCCTATTTCCAAGGTCATATTTCTTACTCTATCACAATCTATTCTATACTAACTATACAATGGTAGCCGCCATTGATTCCTCTTTCGAATTACCTTTACGTCACTAATTCAAAACTTTCATTCAATATTATCTACTGCATAGCTGCTCATAATTATAATTGCAACCTTGTTGATTCTTATTTTTGCATTTTTTTCTTCTTTTTAGAGTACAATAATACTGATATTTGCGATCAATAATACAACGTCGTACATTGAAAGGCAGACTTTTTATTTTCTATTGGTTTTGAAAACGAAGTGGTGATTTATTAGCCAACAAGTATCGAAAAACTGAGATGTAAAGCGCCTCAAATAAGATTATAGGCGAAAGGGTGAAATCGGCTCCCGCCATGGGCCGAGATTTTTAGGGTCTGTTTGAACAAAATTATCTGGGTCTGTTTCGTATGCGTCTAGTGCAGTGTTTCCCAACCCGAGTCCGCGGTCTCAAATGAGTCCGCGGATTGTTTGAATGAGTCCGCAACAAGTCAAATTTTCACTGCGGGCCGCAAACGTTTTTGCGAAACTTTACCATCAGCCAAGTTACGATTTACGTTAGAATTTACATAAAACATAAAAAGCAAGTTTATTCACATAACATTAATCAATCCAATAATTACTGGATACTGAGTAGGGTTGGTCATATATTCAACTATTAGAATGGCAATTTGCTATTCGAAAATTTGATAACAGGTGACGCGACAGGTCACTCTCGCGTCGCTTAATCAAACTATTGAATTTCACAACTCACTTTCGGATTTCCGATGAAAACACGGGTCGGCACACGCGTGAATAGATACCTAAATGGTGTTTCTCGCGCGCTCGAACAACTAGGATTAATGTTTTTTTTTTTCTGGTAGGTATCAATGGTGGCAACCTAAATTTTCTAAATTGAAAAGCTGCAATACTGAAAATAAAATGGAGAGCACCATCATTTTTGTTTTATGATGGTCCACGACAGATTAAAAGCGCTTTTTTATACATTGCAAATCGCAAAATTTCGGGGGCTACTGTAGTAAGAGCTTTTACTAAACATACGAACAATTACACCTGTAATAGAGGCGTCGCGGGGGACAATCCATGTTGTTATCTTTGTATTGACACCATTGCAGTTTCAGATTGCAACCTCCTGAAAATAGTACCAAATAACGCACACCCAGTCAATCATTTCCTGGCCCCCGTTGTGAAAAACGAGGCTGGTTCCATTGACCAAACTTTTCGCAACAGACGACCTATGCTAAACATGTTGAATAAGCTAGTAGTTTTATACCCTTGGACCAGCTTCAACTCAACTAAATTTGATTCAAAATAAACCACACAAGCATCCCGTTAGGCCAAAAGAATAACCAATATGATCAAAGTGACTATAGTTCATAATCACCTTGAATATGATAGACTGGTGCCATAAAAACGTTCTTTCGTTGGCGATTAAAATTAGCGTTACAATGGAGAATACCGACTTTTTTGTCTGCGATAAACAAGTTTACTGTGACCTTACAATTAAAATATGTGTAGCCGCGTGGTCACTCGGTTTCGCTTTTTCTGGTGTTTTGTCTTACAAAGATTTGTGTATATATCAAATTACTTTGGTTTAGGGCATGGCACGCTAGTGCCCCTATATATGTTTAGTCTGTGCAAACCTGTTGCACAGGTACATAATGGCTCAAATGACGATCTTTTGCAGTCTCGCACGACAGAGAGTTCATGGAAACACCGGCTATGCGACGAGCAGTGGCGTGCCGAGAAGGGGGCCAAAGGGGCAACCGACCCGTGCGGCACGTTGTAGGGGGCAGCAGAGCCAAGCTATAGAGTTTGCGTTATTACACATGTTTTTTTTTTGATGTGTTTTTTTTAATTAGAAGCTGACATTATGTGGTTAGTCTTGTGTGAATGACTGGATGTTTCTGACTGGAGTCAAGAATGGATGTTTCCCCGACTCTTGCCCCCTGAAAAAATGCTTTCTATATCTGACAATTGCAACATTTTGGTGCTTATTTTAAGGGTGGTTCCGCGAGTTAGCGCCTCAAATTAGTTTATATGTTTCAGACTATCTGAAACTGCCTCTTTCGCTTCATTATATTTTTTGTTGTTTACCACTGGAGGCGCTGGTGGTACATACGTTCACAGATTTTAGTGATTGTGACATCATAATACCCCGTGCGCGTTTGCTGCGCGCGCTGCTTCAGTACCTTGATTCGACCTTCTCACGACTGTGGGATTTGTGGTGCAAGGTTTTCGTTGTCTGGAGATTTGTAGTTCCAAGGTTTTAATTGTATTTTCATATATTTAGATTTAATAACATTAACTTAATTTCAATAACTGTCCCAATCAACTGTCGATTGTTTCGTAAGCTGAAAGCTACACTGTCAAGTACGTATTTCAGTTTATTGTTTTTATATTTAAGGAATATTTCGGTTGTACCGTGTTTTATAATGACCACTTTTGTAATCAGCCGCAACTGTTATTATACTGGCGTAAACCTGCGTATGTTAAGTTCAGTTCTAATGTGTACAATTTTGTTTAGTTAATGATTTCAACTGTCGAGTTATTTCTTGCCGGCACATTATTTGTTGTAATTAGGCTATTGTTTGTTTTATTTAGAAAACCGTACTGCCGTACTTCCCGTACACGTATTGATGTACTCTCGTACTGACGTACTCTCGTATCCACGTATTGTCGTAATCACGTACTGTTGTATTATCATACCTATAACATCGTACCGACGTATCTTCATACACCTGTACTTTCCTGACAATAAACGACATCAACTTGTACTGTTATACGCGTCTTTTTGCATTGGAGTGCTAAAGGCACTCCAAATTTGGCGTCTACATTAGTTTTTTGACAATTGCAATACTGCAACAAAGTTTTTGAAAATATGGCCGAATCAAATGACAACATCAATGAACCAGCTGCCGCTGATGAACTAGTGAACAGAGACAATGATATGTTAGAAAATATGTCGGTTACTGGATTTTCTGAAGCAACTGAAAATAATGTAATTGCTTTGCTGACTATTCCAACACAAGGTATAATTCCTGTTTTGCCTAATGAAAGTCAATCAACTTCTAAAGATTGTCATAGTGCGTCAATCAAAGATCTGTTCCTAAGAGGTCCTGATGTAGAGTCAGATGTCCAACCAAGTTCAGAAAAGAACAACCAAGGAGCATCTGTAGCATCTGGCCTTGCTGAAGAAGGATCAACAAATGCGCATGCTATGACAACAAGGTCGAAGATAAAGACAAATAAAAGCAAGGCTTCAAAAATAAATAGTCAGCAACATAGATCAGTAATGCGAAGTTTGATAACATCACGCAGTGGTACAATTCGGTCGCGATCTTCATGCTTAACAAGAATGTCCAATTTGAGTGATTCACAAATTGAGAATATATTCGAAACAAGGATGAATCAACAAAGGCGCACAGAATTGGAGAAACAACAATTGCAAAATCGCCTAGAAAGTGAGAAACAAATTTGGGAAAATAACAATCAAGTTGAAAACTTAAATTTAGACAATGAGTGGCAACAGATTCTACAAAAACAGCAAGCTGAAGAGCGTAAGAGAAAGGCCGAACTGGAAGCTTTTCAACATCGTCGCCAACAAATGCTACAACGAAGAAACATCGAGATGGAGCAGTTCAACAAGAGGAAGCAGATGAACCTACAAGAAATTGAAGACAAAAATCAACGTGAACAATTGGAACTGGACACTAATTTAAATGAAACTTTAGCAGAAAGAGGCGTTCTTATAAATACGCCCCCTGTTGCTGCTAGTGTCGAAATCAGTCAGCAGCCATCAAATTCCTCTATGAAACAAACAAAAATATTAAATGTGACCAGTCCAATAATACCAGCTTTAAGTACACCATTTTCAACACCTAATCAATTACCTGTCTCTAGAAGTTGTGATGTGCATTGTGAGGGCCGACCAAGTGAACGTGTGAACACCGCAGAGCATGGTGAGTCAGTTTCTTATTCCTCCTCTGGTTTTGGAGTTTGCCGTCCACAAATGGTCCCGAGTGCATGTGTGACTGTTGTTGAATCTGTGTGTGACATGGCCCAAATACCGTTAACATCTGAAAATTTGTTTGTGAGCTCTTGTAGTGTGGTGAATTCTGGTTTGACTTCCTGTGTACCTGCATCATGTGTATCTAAGCCAAGTTTAAGGTGTTGTGAAATTCCAATGTCATGTGTGGGTGATAACAGACAATTGCAGAGCAATGCAATTTACACTGGGGCTGGAACGAACCACAGTGAAATATTAACGAAATTTCCAACTTCATTCAATACTATTCCATTGCATACGACTAGTTCGGCTGTTAATATGAACCCTACATTACCAACATCAATAGATAATCCTGGCAGAATTGAAAATGCAGAGGCAATGCACTCAGTTAATATCGGCTCAATTCAAAATCCTATTGTGGGCAGTCAACCAAGTAATACAAATGCACAGAATAACAATATTTCTCAAGCAGCCAACCCTCAGGTTATATATGTGCCTCAAACTTTAGGTTTGCCACCATCTGAACCCCCTGTATTTTGCGGTAATGCAGGTGAATATAGAGATTTCATTGATATTTTTGAGACTGTAATTGGTAGCAGATTACAAAATCCCAAGCACAAACTAGTTTATCTTCTTCAATATACAAAAGGCCCTGCTCGTGCTTTGGTTAAGGGGTGTCAACACAGAACAGATAGCTAGGATGAAGCTATTCGATTACTTGAAGAAACTTATGGTCAGAAATTTCAAATTGGCGAATCCTGCATTAATTCCATAGCAAATGGTCCTCGACTGAATTTGAGTAATAAAGAATCATTAACTGTGTATTCAGCAGAAATCATGTCATGCAAAAATACATTGATAGGGGTTGAATACAAAAATGTTGCCCTTATGACCATAGAAAAAATAGCTTTAAGAATGCCGCCTGAATGGAGATCTGGGTGGTTATCAAAGATGGACAATGTACTACAAATAAAGAAAAAAGACCTAACAATAGAGGATCTTGCTGATTACGTCCGTAAGAAAACTAGAGAAGTATGCAATGTTCCCTCTATCGAATTTAATACTTCAAAACAAATTATTTCCACAAGAGGCTCGAGGCCATACAAATCCTCATTTGCAACTACAGTTCATAATAATAGACCTGTACGCAGATGTGTAAAATGTGATGGAGATCATTACTTAAATCAATGCGATGAATTTCGAGGCATGACGTATGATAAGAGATTGGAGTTTGTAAAAAAGCAAAAGTTGTGTTTTTCATGTTTATTATCTGGGCATTGGGTCAGGGAATGTAAACGAAACAACCCTTGCAAAAATGCAAACTGCAGAAGAAAACACACAACACTTCTCCATCCTCCTGATAAGGAACCAATAAAAGTCCCTACATCAAGTAGTCATGAAAGTACTACACAAACTCATAATGAGTATAGGACACAAGCGTCTGAAACCAAATTTAATGCATTTCTGAATGCCTCTGACGAAGAAAGGGTTTTGCTCAATGTTGTACCAGTTAAGATACGCATAGCTGGAAGAAGAAATGCTGTTATAACCAATGCATTCTTTGACAATGGATCGACTTGCTCTTTTATAAGCAATTCGCTAATGAATAAATTAAAGGTCAATGGACCAGTTACAAATTTGAACATTCGTACTATAAATAATACTGTGGAACACAAGCAATGCACTGTTATAAAGAACCTCGAACTGGCAGATTTTGAGGAGTCAAAATATGTAAGGTTAAATCCCTTGTTTTCAAACGATCAAATTGGTGTTAATCAAACAGATATCCCTACACAAAGTGATCTTGATCAATTTAAAGAATTTAATGGTATTGTGCTACCCAAAGTAGAATGTGATGTGGAGCTCTTGATTGGCAAAGATAATCTTGGTTTGCATAAACCATTGGAAGTGATTTATGGCCCAAACAATTATTTTGCATCGAAGACAATTGCTGGATGGATGGTTAACTGCCCTGCGAAAAATGGAAATACCAAAAATTCTACATATTTCACCAAATCTCAATTAAATCCTTTGTGCCAAATGTGTGCAGATGTTGTTGATTCTGCAATTAATGAAAAAGATGAGGTTTCACCAATTCAACAAGTTTTTCTCGACAAAGTTAGTAAGTCAATTAAGCTCAGAACTGATGGACATTACGAAATAGGTTTACCATTGAAGAATCCTGATGTTAAGTTGCACTCAAATAAATATCAAGTTTTGCAGCGAGCAGAATCATTAAAGCGTCGTCTTCACAAGGAACCGAAATTTTATGCAGAATACAAGGATTTTGTTGCAAATATGATTACAATGGGTTATGCTGAAGAAGTTCTGGATGCCAATGAAGAAGAAGGAAGACTTGGTACCTCAGTCATCATGGAGTTCGTCATCCAGAGAAGAAAACATTGAGGGTTGTATTTGACTGCTCTGCAAAATCAGAAGGAATTTCATTTAATGACATCCTGTTACAGGGCCGGGATTTAACAAATAATTTAGTTGGAGTCTTGTCACGCTTTCGCAAAAATATTGTAGCTGTTCAAGGGATATACGGTCCATGTTTCATCAGGTAAAGGTGAAAGAATGTGATAGAAATTTCCTCCGTTTCTTCTGGTGGGAAAATGGTGACATCACTTTACCCATGAAAATTTATAGAATGTCGGTTTTTCTCTTTGGAACTGTGTGCTCTCCAAGTTGTTGCAACTTCGCTTTGAGACAAACTGCAATAGATAACAAAATGATTTTGAACAAAGTGTGATTGATGCAATTAATGATTCATTTTATGTTGATGATTTTTGTGATTCCAAACCGGATGCTGCTAGTGCCCTCCAACATATAAAGAGTGTAACTGAAATTGCTGCTAAAGGCGGTTTTGAAGTGACAAAATGGGTGAGCAATGACCGTGAAGTATTGGCCTCAATTCCAGAAGCTCACCGATCGAAGGAAAGCAACGCGTTTGATATCTCTATAGATGAATTGCCTGTTGAGCGAGCTCTTGGCATGATATGGAACGCAAATGAAGATACATTAAGTTTCAGTACTAAATACACTGAACGACCAGCTACCAGACGGGGTATGCTGGGTGTTGTGAACTCAATATTTGACCCTCTTGGCATTGGCCAGCCGGTCATTCAACCTATGAAGGTCCTTATGCAAGGATTGTGCAGGAAGAAGCTGGAATGGGACGATTCAATTCCTACAGAGTGTGAACAGGAATGGCTTAAAGTGGATATCAGAATTATCCAAATTGAAAGATTTCACTATTCCGAGATGTTTTTTACCTGCTAATTTCGGTGAAACCACAGAAATACAAATTCATCACTTTTCAGATGCCATCCGAAAAGTCTTATGGTGCTGTTTCATATATACGTTTAAAGAATTTTTCTGGACAAATTCATTGCTCAATTTTGTGTGGTAAAAGTCGTTTGATACCTCTCAAAGGCTCAACGATTCCCAGGTTGGAGTTATGTGCAGCAACAATATCTGCACGAAATGAAAAATTCTTTCGTAAAGAACTCAAGCTCCCAATTGATGCATCGATATTTTGGACGGATAGCACCACCGTATTACGATAGTTTGGCAAATACTGATAAAGTTCTAAAAACTTTTGTTGCAAACAGGGTGAATGTTATCAAAGAAGTTTCTGATGTGAATCAATGGTACTATGTGCCTTCCAAATTAAACCCTGCAGATGTTGCATTCTAGGGGCATGTCTGCTGATGAATTTTTGAACTACCCACAATGGAAATTTGGACCAGAATTTTTATGGAAAAATCAGGAAAGAATGGCCTAAACAACCAGATTTCCTGCATTCAATGAATGATAAGGATTTGGAATTTAAAAAGCAGAGTCCACATTCACAGATGTGTTTTGCTCTAAATACAGATATACCTACTGTATTATACCAGTTACTACTAAATATTCAAATTGGTTCAAAATGAAGAAGATTGTAGCATGGGTTTTACGTTACAAGCGAGCACTGCTTTCCAAAGGTCAGAGAGGATGTTTCTTTGCAATTTGGGGGAGTGGAAATAATAAATTTTTATCTGTAGATGAAGTGAACTTGGCAGAATGGAAAATATCAAAAATGACAATTCAAATATTATTCAAAGGAAATTAATGTATTGGCCAAAGGTGAACAATTGCCAAAATCAAGTCCATTGTGTAAATTGCAAGCCTATTATGAAGAAGGTCTTCTCCGTGTTGGTGGAAGAATTGGAGCATCGAGTCTTCAATATGAACGCAAAACATCCTATAAATAATTCCAAACAAGAGTTCTATTGCTAATTTTGATTATTGAACATATTCATCAAGTTACATGCCATAGTGGAAGAGAATATGTAATTGCTGAATTACATCAAAAGTTCTGGATTATAAAAGCAAATGCAATGACACGAAAGATTCTCAACAACTGTAATATCTTGTCGCAAGAGACAGCGGGCAACCTGAATCTCAATTGATGGCCGACCTCCCAGAAGACCGATTAATACCAGACAAGCCACCTTTCTCTTTTGTCGCTCTTGACTGTTTCGGTCCATTTCTTGTTCGTCAAGGACGAAGCGAAGTAAAAAGATATGGTGTTATTTTCACTTGCCTAGTGACTCGTGCAGTGCATGTTGAAATTGCACATAGCCTAGATACAAGTGCCTTATAATGTCTCTTAGAAGATTCATTTCAAGAAGAGGACAAGTAGTTGAAATAAGATCAGATAATGGAACAAATTTTGTCTCTGGGAGAACAAGAATTGAGAAATTCTATCAAGACTTGGAATCAGAATCAAATACATAGGTTTTGCTGCAAAAGAACATCAAGTGGCTGTTTCAAACTCCAGCGGCTTCTCACCATGGTGGAGTTTTTGAGAGACAAATCAGAACAATTAGAAAAATTTTCAACGCTATTTGCAGAGAACAAAAATTAACTGATGAAAGCTTAATTACACTTATGTGTGAATGTGAATCCATAGTGAATGGAAGGCCAATAACAACTGTATCCAATGATCCAAAAGATTTGACACCTTTGAGCCCGAACAATTTGTTGTTGTTGAAAGAAGAACCGATACTTCCTCCAGGAGTATTTGATGCTAAAGACTTGTATGTTCGTAAGAGATGGAAACAAGTACAATACTTAGCTGATGTGTTTTGGAAAAGATGGAGACGAGAATACCTTCCTCTGCTTCAAACAAGACAAAAATGGAACAAAGTTCAAAGGAATTTAGCTAAGAATGATGTTGTACTTGTGATGGATGAAAATTTGCCAAGAAATGCATGGCTGTTGGGTAGAATCATTGGAACGTTTCCCGACAACAAAGGCCGTGTACGTTCTGCTACGGTGCAAACCAACCATTCAATCTTAGATAGACCCATTACGAAATTAATTCTTCTGTGTGCAAGTGACTCTGATTGAGTTGTGTGCAAAACCCATTTCGTTTGACTCTAGTTGAATTGTGTGTATGTGAGATCAATTTCGTTTTTAAATTTTGTGATTTTGTTTTTGAGTGTGTAGAAATTTCAAATTTGTGGATGGCAAATTCTCAATTTCTAAGGGGCCGGGATGAAACTGCCTCTTTCGCTTCATTATATTTTTTGTTGTTTACCACTGGAGGCGCTGGTGGTACATACGTTCACAGATTTTAGTGATTGTGACATCATAATACCCCGTGCGCGTTTGCTGCGCGCGCTGCTTCAGTACCTTGATTCGACCTTCTCACGACTGTGGGATTTGTGGTGCAAGGTTTTCGTTGTCTGGAGATTTGTAGTTCCAAGGTTTTAATTGTATTTTCATATATTTAGATTTAATAACATTAACTTAATTTCAATAACTGTCCCAATCAACTGTCGATTGTTTCGTAAGCTGAAAGCTACACTGTCAAGTACGTATTTCAGTTTATTGTTTTTATATTTAAGGAATATTTCGGTTGTACCGTGTTTTATAATGACCACTTTTGTAATCAGCCGCAACTGTTATTATACTGGCGTAAACCTGCGTATGTTAAGTTCAGTTCTAATGTGTACAATTTTGTTTAGTTAATGATTTCAACTGTCGAGTTATTTCTTGCCGGCACATTATTTGTTGTAATTATTGTTTGTTTTATTTAGAAAACCGTACTGCCGTACTTCCCGTACACGTATTGATGTACTCTCGTACTGACGTACTCTCGTATCCACGTATTGTCGTAATCACGTACTGTTGTATTATCATACCTATAACATCGTATCGACGTATCTTCATACACCTGTACTTTCCTGACAATAAACGACATCAACTTGTACTGTTATACGCGTCTTTTTGCATTGGAGTGACAAAATCAGTTTACTAAAACAGATCGACCATCTAAGAAATACACCTGGTGTGGGCGCTAAAGGCACTCCAAATTTGGCGTCTACACTATCATTTTAATTCAAAATATTCAACCCTGGTATTAAAATTACCGATAGAAAAGTTTAGCATAGTGCCTTACTCTATCACAGCGTAAATATATACTACTACGATCACATCTATTTCTAGACTAATTTTTGATTACTGCAATGAAACTATATAATACCGCAAAATAATCATTGAGTTGTTTGATTCGTATTGAAATTTTCGAAACATACCCAAAAACTAACATATAACATGCAAAAACGAGGTAATGCTTACAACCATACTAGAAAATCTGTCTGTGCGCCTGCTAGAAACAGAGATTTTCCAAAAAAATGATTTTCTTACTTCATTAGTGGGCTGGGATGTTTTTCCAACTGCATATTGTGTATTACTCACAATTGGCTATAGCCGCATTACTCAATTGCTAGTTGCGGGCGATCTTTCTCAAAGTTTATTCCGATAAAAACATATTCGAGGTCAAGTTTATCTTTGATTAGCATCGAAATGAAATTCGAAAGAGGCTCTCGTTCTGACATTTGTCGACAGCAAAGAAGCGATTGGACATAGAAATAAGTGACTTGGAGTTCGATCTTATACATGTGAATTTGTTGCTCAGTTTGGCGAACAAACGTTTCTATCTTAATTGACCTTTGACTTATTTATTCTCATGTATAACGACGTCTATAACCTGTTTATCCCCCGAATTATTTTTGACATTAGGTAAAGGCAGTGGTGGAATTCAACTTATTTTGTCAGCCGTTCCATCATAAAAGTTATATTTTCGGCCGGTTCTGTCACATGTTTTTTCTAATAATGCTAACCAGTTCGCTGATCTCATAAAATTCCGTGAGACGGTTCTATAGAACCGGCTGAATTCCACTACTGGGTAAGGGGCATCATTATCAGAAACTCTCCCCGGGCAACAGTGAAGCTTGGCACGCCCTGGTGACCAGCCGCCATTTTGCACATACCCACTCCATCCTCTCAAAGCGACACGTTATATTAACATATATATATTCAAAAATGCACTTCGTCTACCAATATTGAATGCGATTAATATAAGAAAAACATTTGATTGGTCTAAAAGCGATCGAAGAGCACAGTACCGGTATCTCACACCTCGTCACTTGCAAGAATGCAGCAGGTTGTAAAAATGTATTGCGCAAGACAATAACATAAAATGTAACCTGAAGCTGAATGCACAGCAAGATATAAACTCCAAAGAGATGATTTGGGATGCATATTTCCATCTTTACCTTCAAACAAAGGAGGTATGAAGAAATATATTTTCAACCCAGATTTGAAGTTACTATTTAACTTTCAGATATGTCCTAGCCATGAGTTTTCAGGGTGTCTTGGGTTCTGGAGTGCCAAATGACCATGCTTACTCCAGTCAGGTATAATAGATATCATAACTTATTGGACAAATCTACTTTCCAGTCTATCTGGTCTTATGTAGTGCTGAATATATGAACACTTCGAACAACTGACGATTCTCTTGTACCATACTATTGAGATGGCATGACCTTGATAACAGCACTTTTTCTTATCATTATGTTAGAGTCACAATCATCCAAGCCAATGAGAGATAAAATAGACAGATAGGATAAACAGCAAGTGCTTTGCGATTCGGAGGTTGACTATCGCCAAGAAATGCTACAGAGGCTGTAAACAGAAAAACATATATTCAGGTCAGTAAACTATATTAGATACATTTAATAACAAGAGAGCACTGCTCAAATATATGAATATGAAGATCAAAACATACTCAATCTGTCATAGTACACTACAGAGTCTTTATAACTTTGCCTGACCACCTAGTAGCAACGAACGCGGGGCCGCCACAAAAATTTAAAAAAAATGTCGAGAGTTTGGGAAAAATTTTGTGCTAATGGACGAATACCCTACAGATATTCAAACACTTTAGTGGTCATTATTTGAATTTCTCAGTGATAGTCCTTTCAAAAATTCTGTAAAAAGCCTTTTCATATAAAAGTCAGGAATTTCCAATTATTCAAAGACATTATTTAATTATGGATAAGATTGATCAATACTTACCAAATATTGACCATCCATACGCAAGAAAAACAGCTATAAAACGAACAATAAATAATCCAATATTTTGAGAAATAAAATGTACAATAAGCCAGGAAAAAATAAGTGAAGCGACGAGAGGAAACATACAATACCCAAGAACACACACGCTTTGAAAAAATGATCTGAAAAATAGTAAATATAACAGTTTCATAATAAACTCAATTTTCAATAATAAACAAGTTGGCAACACCGAAATGTATGGACATGGCACTAGTTGATGGTACATGGTGACGCAATATTTTATTAGCAAAATTTGGGTTTAAACAACAGTCTTCAGAAAAAATATACACATGCTTCAAGAAGTTACCACCAATCACTAAAAATTTGCTAGCTATTGTTTCAGCAAATAAGATAAGATAAAATCATAGAGGTTTCGGAAAAATGACCTGTAAAATCTGATATATCCAACAAATGCAAAAATACACCGAATTGGTTTAAAAAACTGGCAACAAATACTTCTGAAGTTGGGTAGTTTGTTAATAAATTTTATTCGACTATTCAATTCATTTTTCTCATGTATGAGTTATTACCCACATACAGGGGCGCAGCCAGGGGGGAGGTTACATGGGTCGTAAGCGCGCTCTCGCCTCGCCACATTCAACGCAACCATACTTTTAATCGGTGACCGTACATTTGAACCCATGTACATTTGAACCCATGCGTATATCCATGGGTTCAATCTATATGCGGGTGCTAAAACCCATGGGTTAGGGTTAGTATGGGTTTAACTATCCGTGAAACAAAAAAAATTCCATAGGTGCAATAGCATACAGGTGCAATTGTCATGGGTTCAAATGTACGTGGGTTCAAATGTAATGGAACCTTTTAATCACATACGTTATCGTTGGTTATCGGCTTATCGCTAATTACGAATTTTAGTTATGTAGTGCATCTTTAACAAGCGATGGCACCAGGATCATAAGCAAATAACAGACAAAATGAATTATTGGAAATGTATGGTTCATTAACAAAGGATTGCCAAATGTGGCAGCATCGAAAAAAGGTGTCATAAAATAATATTCAATCTTCGAAAACAAAGCATTGCAAAATAATGTTCAATCTTCGAGTAAAAAGTATCGTAATATAATGTTCAATCTTATGGAAATTTTTTTTTAAAGAATAATGTTCAATCTTCGAGATTTTTGGGTAGCAAACTCGTCCAAGACTCGTTTGGAATCGTCTGTCTGCGAAAAGCAGTTACATGCGTTGTCTTCCAGATCTTTTCAATAAACTGGTAACAATATGTTATTAAATTATAATTAAATTATTATAGTTAAATTATCGCTGAAAGTGAAGAAGCGCTATGCGCAGAATGCAGCTATCACGGGCGCGGGATTTCAAATTCGCGACGATTTCACTTTCAGTAATATAGGTCTCGATGCATTGCAATAAAAATTAGAATTTATTAACAGTTAATTGCAACAAGCAAGAGTTTTACATTGAAAGACGTTTTCAATCAGTACGATACATGAGCTTGTTTTTAAATGATTGTAATCGTTTTATGAAGTTATAAATACGGGAACATCAAATATATTTATTCTGGAAATGGATTGATATTTCGTGACGCACTCAAAAATAGTTTATGAACCATTGGCATTTGGCAAATATCATTAATTTATGCTATTTCTTAATGTTTCATGATTGCTAATATTTCATTCTATTCTTATTTTACATTTTTTGCGGTATTTCAATTAAAATCATGACGATGGCATTTTTTTAACTGTTGACAATGGGGTAATAATCGGCGATTACTAAAAGGTTGAAATGGGACATGCCAAAACAAAATAAACGAATTGACGCCTGTCAAAGGGGGCAGGGTCTGGCGACAAATAGCCACATGTGTCGGTGTTTCTCTATCATCGGCATTTTCGGCATCACTTTGAAACTCTAAAACGCAAGGACACCCCGCGGAGTGAAGACTTTCTTTCGCATAGGGAAATATTTGAATTACGATTGCTGAATAAGCGAAAAAAACAAATGCTTATTTTCTTGCTTGAAACAACGATAAACCAATTTAACCGTGTTGCCAAAAGTAATAGCATGCATTATTAACAAACTGGTAATAATATGTTGATAAATCGCCGCTAAAAGTAGAGAAGCGTTATGTGCAAATATCACAGGAATTTGAATTTGCGACGAATTCACTTTCAGTAATATAGTTAACGGCGCATTGAAATGAAAAGTTGATTGATTTTTTTTTGACCAAAGAGAATGGTCGGCGATTGCTGAAAGTAGGACATGCAAAGAAAGGCTAATGAGACACAGCGACGCACATGTTGTTTTGCCATCGTCGGAACATCTTTTTAAAGACCTATAAACGCGTTTTTATTTCACCGTAACCCCCCCCCTTGAAAAAATCCTGGCTGCGCCCCTGCCCACATATGCAAACCCAACAAATGGATTTTATATTCTTCGAATAAATACAGATTTTGTACTCACATTTCACCACCAAGAAGTTGTGAATTTAGTGTGACAACAGCAGCACCGACCCAAATAACAACAAATACTTCAGCAAATTGTGGGCCGCCTTCACCAGTCTTTTCATCTGTAGCTTGACCTATGACAGGGAGAATCAATTTAAGTATATTTGACAACATACTCAGACACGAGCATTTAAGTTTTTAAATATTTTCAAAGAATTTTTTTGCCAAGGAGAGTTTCTGTAGGCTTCTTCTAACAACTTAAGTGATAATATGCATTAGATGCATAATTAAATAACTGCAAAATATCAGTAAATTATTATTGGGCGCAGGCCTAGTGCCAGAATAACAATATCGATTTCAAACGCCATGCCCACTACCTCACATAAGGTGCAATAAATTGGGTAAGAAATACCAGACATTCCTGTCCTTCAAAAAA